TGTTCATTTTTAAGCTCTCTGATAATTTTGTGCAGTGTACTTTGATCCTATTCACCCCATCACCAACCTCCTCTCAGATTCATTCCCACTTTCCTACCCACCCAATATCACAGCTTCTTTTAAAAATAAAATCCCACCATGTACAGTTTGATACTCTTGAGTATATATATTTCCTATGGAACATGCTCAACCTACCAAAAGTTGTACCTTTAGGAAAATTGATTCTCTCCCAACAGCTATCAATTGACAATAGCTCTTTAGCTAAGGGTGAGTCATCGTGCCTACCACTTCTCTCAGCATAGGATGTGGTCCACCTTAAACTTTTGTAGGCTTTGAATATGCTGTCAGAACTACTGTGTCTGTGTCCTCTTTCCATCTTGATAGTGTAGGTATTATATAGCTGTTCCATTTAAAACTGAGAATTCTACACTTTTTTCATTTACTGTATCTGCCCAGTTGTGGGTCTCTTTGTTACTTACCATCTACTTGATAGAGATGCTTTGTGAATGAGATTTAATTTATGCACTATGAACACAACAATAAATCATTTGGAGCAAGTTAAATACTATTTACATTTAAGTTCTCCTTATGAAGAACTAATATTCTCAGCCTTATATTCTGCCCTAAGGCCTATAACCTATGAGCCCACAGGTCAGGGCTTGGATAATGATGCCAGGTTTGGATTTTAACTCATGATGCTGGACTTTTATCTAGTCAATCTGAAAATGGCAATGGCGTAATTCATACTGTTAACCCAATCTACTCCTTGTGAAAACCTTTTTCCCACATCTGTGGGCTCATACCACCAATTCAACTCCACCCATCTTCTCCACTGACTTGGCCTTTTCTCTAGACAGGCAGTAAACTCAAGCTCATAACTCCTTCCATACCTGTGACCCAAGGAGTTTATATCTTCCAATGTAAAACACTAGACCCAGAACTAGAAACTCTACTCCCTCACCACTACCTACCTGAGGAATATATGTCCTACTCATGCCTTTCTGTGCCCCTTCCCACCCCTGCTTCTACTATCCCTAGGTAAGATCACTATATTTTCTCTTACAAAATCAATTCCACCCAGTCCTACCAATGTGACTATATTCCCTCTGCTCACACTTAAACCCTTCTCTAGATAAACACTAAACTCACACCAATTCCACCTCTCATCATGATGCTTTTCAAGGAGGAGTACTAGATCCACACCTGTAATTCTACTCATCCCTGCAGCTGGTCTGAGGACCATGAATCCAGTACCTGCTTTCTGTCTTCTCCTTCAGCCTTTTCTCTTCAGATAGGAATCCTAGACTTGTATTGCCAACTCTACCACCACTCCTTGGGTGAAGATAAGTTCAGAGCACATTCTTTAAGATTCTGAAGTTTGACATAAGAACCTTTTAAGATTATGCAAACCTTTGTGAACTTAGAAACTTAGCACAAGTTGAGCCAAGACTATTTCTGACACTCGATTCAGTCTTCAATCCTAAAATTGCTTAACGACCAAATCTCATATAGCCAGTCAGTCACCTGATGAATTAAGATATAAGGCAATACAGCTTCTTACATATACTCAGTCAATAAGATCCAGATGCTTATATCTCATTGAAAAACAGAAACAGAGGACCCCTGTGGCTTAACAAGGGAAAAGCTGGAAGAAGCTGAGGAGGAGGCTAACCTCATAATAAAACCAGCAGTCTCAACTAGCCTGAACCCCTGAGATCTCTCAGACACTGAGCTACCAGCCAGTAAGAAAACACCAGCTAATATGAAACCCCCAAAACATATACAGCAGAGGACTGTCTGGCCTGACCTCTGTGAGAGAAGATGTACCTAACCTTCAAGAGACTTGAGGCCCCAGGGAGTGTAGAGGTTTGGTTGGGTGGGAGTGAAGGGGCTGGGGACATCCTCTTAGAGATGGAGCAAGGAGGTATAGGCTAGGGAGTGGTCAGGATGGACCAGGAGGGGGATAGTGGCTGGACTGTAAAGGAAGATGATAATAATAATAATAATAATAATAATAATTTATTATTATTATTAAATAAATTACAGGAACATGAAAAACTAAAATAACAAGTCTTCCCTCCAAAACATAAATAATCCCAGAGCAATGTCATTGGAGAAAAGTGACTTAGGTTTCATATAAGAAAATAATTTCAAAATGGCAATGAAGAATATGTTCAAGTAACTTGAAGAGGGTGTGAGTAAATGCCAAATGGAAACCACAAAAACATAGTTAAATGAAATGATGAAAAATTCAATATATGAAAGCATAATTTAATCAATTTATACCACTCTGACATAAAGTCAAATTACAATTAAATTTGGAATGAAAAATTTAGGAACTCAAACAATAATTCAAAGGAAAGCCTCATCAATGCAAAGGATTAAGCAGAAGAGAAAATACCATGTCTCAAAGATTAAATGGAAGAGTTGCATCATTTAATCAAAAATTCTAAATTCCCTCCCAAAATGAAAGAAAACTCAACACAAGATTATGTAGAAATACTATATGTACACTAAGTCTATTAAAAATATGTATAAAAGAAACAAACAAGACCCAGATCAAAAACAAGTAAACTATTTTCAACAAAAGCATAGATGAAATTCCTCTAATCCAAACAACAACAACAAAAAAGAGTGACCAAGGTCCAAGAGGCACACAGAAGATGAAACAAAAAGGAACAGAAAAGAAAATTCATATATCATATGATAATCAAGGGGAAAAGATCAAGACATTCAAAGGCAACTCCATCAGAATAACAGCAGATTTCTTTTCTTCTGGTAAAATTTGGAAAAACAGAAGGGATTAGAACAGGGTTCAATAAGTTCTCAAAGACCACAGAAGCCAGCCTAAGTTGTAATATACAGCAAAATCATCACTTGTAAATCACTGGGAAGTGGTGGTGCACATCTTTAATCCGAGCCTTTGAGAGGCAGAAGCAGGCAGATTTCTGAGTTCAAGGCCAGCCTGGTCTACAGAGTGAGTTTCAGGACAGCCAGGGCTACACAGAGAAACCCTGTCTTGAAAAACAAAACAAAACAAAACAAAACAAAAACAAAAAACAAAACAAAAAAATTATTATTACTATTCCCAGTCTGCAGTAAATAATGGATGAAATACATACTAATAAACAGAATTCAAGAACACACCAAAAAGAATATCTACCATGATCACTTGAGTAATACAGACTACAGAATGGAAAACCTTTTTACCAGCCACATATCCAACATGGAATTAATTCATAGGATACATAGAAAACTTAAAAAATAATAAAATAACACCAAGGAAAGCAATAATTCAATTAAAATATGGGCATAGAACAAAAAGAAAAGTTACCAAAAGGTGAAACATGATGGCTGAGAAACAAATTTTTAAATGCTCAACAGCTTTTGCTGTGAAGGTAACTCAAATTAAAGCTACTTTGAGATTTAATCTTATTCCACTCAGAAAAGCAAAAGACTGACTGAATGACTGAATGAATGAATGAGTAAATGAATGTCTCTCAGAGTTCAGAAAACAAAATCTATTCATTGCCTACACTAAATTCTATTTTTCCATTCTTTCTGCTGCAATCTTTTCTGTACATCTGATCACCAATAAGAACAAGGACACTAGTTCTGCCTAAAAGCTTTCTATCCATGTTGGCTTCATTTCTACAGGGGAATGGGTTTATGTAAAATAATCATTGAGTGAATAAAAGGAAGGTTGCTACATGGTCATGGGTCCATGCATAAATAAATGCATAAATAAATGACAATGGACTCTGGTATGGATATGGAGAAAGACGAATACTTATTCATTGCTAATGTGAGTGAAAACTGGTGCACCCACTATGAAAATCAGTGAGAAACTTTCCAAATAGATCTACCATGTGTTCCAACTGTACCATTCTTGGGAATATCCCCAGTGGATTCTGTATCTTATTAGAAGGAAACTTTCTCACTCATGTTCATTGCTGCTCTATTTATAACACCAAGGACATGGTAACAGCCTACATGTCTATCAACTGAGGAATCAATAATGAAAATATGATATATTTATGCAATGAATATATTTAACTATTAAGAAAAATTTGAAAGTAAAGTAAATAGATTGAGCTAGAAATAATCATTCTGAGTGATGTGACCTAGGTCCAGAAAGATAAGTGTCATATGCTTTCTCTCACATGTTAATATTAGTTTTGAAGTTTCAGATATGTGTATTACATTTGGAATTTATTCAGAGGTCAGGAAATCACTGAGAAGCTATGGATATGTCTTTAAAAAAAAACGAGATAGAACACACTAGTATATAGGGATTAAGGGGGAAAGCAGGACAAGAATGGTTAAATAGAGGTGCAGAGGAGGACAGGATAGTAGGGAGAGTAAGGAAGAGACAAAAAACTCTAAAGCATTTAAAAAAAAGTCATCTGGAACAGTCAGACAGAAAATACCCAGGCTAGCCTGCTGCATGACCAGCCTGAAGCAGGAGCCACTACAATGTTCAAATGTGTGGTAGAGAGATGGGAAAGAAAGAGAAACAGAATGGTTTAAGCATTGTGAAGAGAGGAGAAACTGGAGACCCAAGAGTGGAGAGTAAAAGTCTGATATGTGTAGGCTGCACTGGTACCTGGGGCCATGGTGAAGTCCCCATCCATGCTACCAGTGAGAGTCATGCATGGACCCAAGGCCATGCAGCAACCTTCCTTTCGTCCACTCAATGATTATTGTTCATAAATCCATTCTCCTGTAGAAATGAAGACAACATGGATAGAAAGCTTTTAGGTAGAACTAGTGTCCTTATTCTTATTGGTAACCAGATGTACAGAAAAGATTGCAGCAGAAAGAATGGAAAAATAGAATTTAGTGTAGGTGATGAATAGATTTTATTTTCTGTACTCTGAGAGACATCTGTAAATAATCAAGATTAAAGAAAAGTAAAGTAAATTTCTTAGGCTAAAATGCATGCTATATAAATAAGGGCCATGGTTACATAATTATTGATGCTTTTATTTATCATTTAGTTTTGTTGTCTATAGGCAGCTATTTGTTAATCTTTATTAATTATGAAGCAAGATTCATAAAGAAAAAACATGTTATTTCATGTAAAATCTAAACAATATGAGATATGCTATTTTAATAACTAAAGATATTTAAATGAAAAACAAGGTGAGTATTATGTCAGATATACATACATCAAATAAACACAGATGGTAAGAAAATCCAGCAAAATATTCTTAAAATAAAAATTTTAATGTTAGAATACATTTCTCTAGACAAACACAGGTAAGACTAATTAAAATCAATTATTTTGATGTATAGTTTTTAAATATCTACCACCTTTAAATATTATACTAATTCTGTGTATTCAAATATTTATTTGAGTAGTTAAATTTTTCCATAAAAAGCTAGAAAATACTCAATATTTTCTTAGTCTTTGATGAAATGAGCAAAAATATTCAGAATGATACGCTGCTTCAATTTGAATCACTAATAACTCATTGGTTTTAATAGAAGATATCTCTAACATTCTGGAAATAATGAAATTTTTTTTCTAAACACTATTATTGTCATTTCCTTTGGTCACAAATTAGATTCTCTGGTATCCAGATGACTGATACCTTTGGCGGATTTTGTAGACACCCAGACCCACAACACAGAGGACGACCATGATGATCGCAACCACAGGAAATGCAACTCTGTAGTCAGACAAACACTCGTCCACTATGAGAGAAAACAAATACAATATAGCAGGTAAGATTAGGTGATGACAGAGCAGAAAATAGAACAGTCAAAAGAACAAGAGCTTGGGAGTTAAACATATCTTTTCTTGACTTTTATTTTGTTGATTGGTTGATTGATTGACTGTACTTCTGGGCATCTAATCAAGACTTTATGCCTATAAGACAAGCACTCTACTACAGAGCTATATCCCCAGCACTAGTTATATAACCTTGGGAAGAATAATTTACCTTTGAAATTCTCTCATTCATAAAATAAACATATAGCATATATGAATCCTAAGTAATTACAAAATAACTCCTATCTTTTATTAATACCAAATCATTGTTATCTACATTTCTGAAATTAAGAAAACAGATTTCCAGGAGTGCTCCCTGAGTGCTCCCTGAGTGAGTTCCTATGTTAAAAAAAAAACTAAAACTAAAACAAAAACAAAAACCTTAAACACTACTAGATGCCCAAACATTCTTTCATTCTTTCAGACCATTGCTTTTACTTTATAAAGCATCATTCTCACTCTGAAGCTTTTATTGTATAACTCTTAACTGATATTTAAGAATATCTATCATTATTAGAGCTTAAATGTGAGATTTCATAAACTTGGCACAACTGTTTTGCTTCATTCCTCTGAGAATACCATATTCAGTTAATTAAAATGTAATTAATTTGATCAAAGACTAACCAATATCAACAAGAAAAAAGATCAAGTGAACTGAGAATAAATGGAAACTTGGTAGAATTCTCAGTGAAATGTGGAGTTTGGGAGAATAGATTAAATAAATGAAAAACTAGATCCATATCTTAGTCATAAGAGATAAGATGTTTGTGTGAAGTTTTGAAATGAACCAATCTTTCTACAGTTTTTATAGCCTGAGAACAATTCAATGATGATAATTACAGAACCCCCCCCCAAAATGTAAAACATCCTTGAAGTTATTAATTTCAAGAATGCTGCTCTGCTGAGCATTAATGCGGTAGATACTGCCAATAAAATTACCCATGCTCTGAGGTCAGTATTTCTATTTTGGACAAGCTTCAAGAATAGAATATATAGCTTGATCATGTTAGCCCTTTTTGTCCTGGGAATACTTTTATTCCCACCCATTGATTTAAGCTTGTCTTTAACAACATCAACATGTTGGCAACAAAAGTACATGGCTTGAACCTGAAAATAAACCCCCAGACAGAGTTATTAAATTAACAGGCTGGCAAGCCAAGGATGGGCAATATTCTGCACAGAGCCTTACCAACCTAAGACAAAAGTGCATTGCTTTGAATAATGCATATTCCATGACAGGTAAGGAAGGCATTCTTGTCAGAATGACCTAAGACATGTTCAGTATTGTTAATGAAATAAAACAAGAGGTGGAGAGCTTTGGGGTTGCTTGGCAAGAATCTGACATTGGCCAAGGACAAGGAAATAGGCTGCTTGGCAGGAATATGACATTGGCCAAGGTCAAGGAAGTAGGCTTCAGGCAGGAATCTGACATTAGCCTAGAACAAAGAAGTAATTTCAGGTAGAAATCTAAATCTTAGGCTAGAACAAAGAAGTCATTTCAAGCTGCAATCTAAATATTAGGCTAGAACAAAGAAGTAATTTCAGACAGGAATCTAAATTTTACCCTAGAACAAGCAAATAGTCTTCAGACATGAAAATGACCTTGGGCTAGCAAAGGGAAGTTGGCTCAGATATTTTGGTCATTCTGATAAGCCCTTAGAAGCAGTGATCACAGGAGTACTCACGGAATTGTGTTTAATGCCTTGGTTGTTCTTTGACTATTTGTGTTTATTGTCTTGCTTGTTCCTTGACTATTTTCATCTATTGTATTGCTAGACCCTCAACATAGAGTTGTTCTTAATACATGCATGTACTTAAAATGGTATAAAAGCAAAAAGGAGGAGGAGGAGGAGGCATGGGATAGGAGGTTCTAGGGAGGAAAAATGGGAAAAGGGTATGGCATTTGAAATGCAAATAAATAAGATATCCAATAAAAATAAATGTATAAAATAAAATATATGCACCCAAGAAATAATGTTTGCAATAAACTAATTTGGCAGTAAGAAATATTTAGAGGATGTCTTATTTAGAGTTTCTTTTATGAAAAGACTCCATAACCACAGCAACTCTTATAAAAGAAGCATTTCACTGGGGCTGTCTGTCTTATATATCAGAAGTTTATCTCATTATCATTGTGATGAGAAGCATGGCAAGCATGCAGGCAGAGAGGGAGCTAGAAAGGTTGCTCTAGGTTTGACATCTGGATTAACAAGTAGCATGAAGAAAAGGAGTCACTTGTCCTGGTTTGAGAATTAGAAACATCAAAGCCCACTCCTAGTTACCTACTTCCTCCAAAAAGGCCATCCCTACTCCAACAAGGCTATACCTCCTAAAAGTGGCTCTCCCTAAAAGCCTATAGAAACCATTTTCATTCAAACCTTCACACAGGATTATAATATCATATGTCTTATTATCTTGTTATTGCTATAAATTCTTTTCTTCTAGAGCAAAAAGTCTACAACTGAAAAATTAAGCACTGTCATACCTATACTACTAATACTTTCTCTGTGAAAAAGAATGTTCTTTTAATTTATAATCAAATGAGTTGAAAACATAAAATAAAAATGAGGGGCTAGAATGATGGTTCAGAGCACTGGTTGCTCTTCCAGGGCATCCAGTTTTGTTCCAAGGATACTCATGGCACCTCATACCATATGTAATTCCAGTTCTAGAGGCTATAACCCCATCTTCTGGTTTCCATGGGAGCCAGGTATACAAATTGTTAGCAGACATACATACAGGCAAAATATCCACACAAATGAAATAGAATAATATAAAATACAATAAAATAGTAATTTTATAATACATGTTATGATATAACTACATCATTTTCTCTCTTCCTTTTCTTTTCACCAACCACTCATGTATTTTCCTTGCTCTCTCACAAATTCATGGTCTCTTTTTCTTTAGTTGTTGGTACACATTTTCATAAGTATATAAATATAATCTGTTTATTCCTTATGTTATTGGTTTGTATATGATTTCAAGGATGGTCTCTTGGTATTCTATAGCCAGTCATCAGAGTAATCTTTAGGGAAAGCTTCATCTCCCTCTTTTGGCATCCCTTAGTCTCCTGTAGTTCTTAGTGTGTTATTAAGGCCTCCTGAGCTTCCCCTTCAATGTTAGCATGTCTATTTGTGTTCTCCTCACTTTGGGGATTGTTTAGGCACCTGTTCATGTTGATGAAACTTTATGGGTATAGCTTCTCTGACATTTCTTGGAAATACAATCTCACAGAAATCTTGCTCTTCCTCTGGCTTTTACAATTTTTCTGGCCCTTCTTCTGAAATTATCCTTGAGTACATTAATTGGGTGCAGGAGTTGTGCTATAAGTATATAAGCTGGGACTTGGCATCATATAATCTCTTGTTCACTGCATTTTGATTAGTTGTGGTTTTCTGTAATAATCTCCAACTGTTGCAAAAAAGAAGTTTCTTTGATAAAAGGTAAGAGACATGCTTATCTGTGAGCATAAACACAAATATTTAGAATGTAGTTAAAGGTTATCCTAATTTAGTAAAATGGAGGTTATAGATTCTTCCCCAAGGTTATCAGTTTAATATAACCATATAGTTTGCTAGGTTTTAATATCAGCCATGATTTCCCTTTTGCTGAGTGAGTATTAATTTTATCACCAACAGCTCACTGATAGGACTAAGAAAAAAATTGGTACAAGAAAGTAGACTATTGTGACAGATTTAAGCTTTGTTGTTTGGCACAAGATTGAAGAGTTTTGAACTTTGTTTAGAAAAGACATTGATGTTCAGAGCTTAATGTGGTATTCTGGGAACTTGAAAGATAATCAGAAATCAATATAGATTATGGACTCCTGGCGTATTTCAGAGGGAAGCAACAACTTTGTAAGACATATTTATGTGATAATTTAAATTAAGAATCTGTAGTTCTGGTCAAATGGAGATGAGAAATGACTGTGATTAACAAGAAAACAGAACAACTAAAGTCAAAAATTTCCTTTCAAGGGATAATTAATACTTGTCCAAAGTATCATTTGTGGTTAAAAACAGACAAGCATCATTCAGTTAAAATCTTCTGGCAGTATTCCCTCCCTACTTCATGCAATGCAACTCATTTATAACATTGCTCAGGTGACCAAAGAGCTGAGATTAGATAGGTAACGGACTCAGGGGAAAACCAAATACTACTGTTTTGCTAAAGGAATGCAGCAATAAGATTATTCTGCTATACTCATAGATCAGTGTCTTGCTCAGCCATCATCAGAGAAGTTTCCTTTTGCAATAGAAGAGAGCAAATACAGAGACTCACAACTGCACAATGTGCAGAGTGAGAGACCTTGGAACACACAGCCCTAAATAAGTCCCTCCCTTAGGGCTCAGAGAACTATATGGAAAAGAGGAGATGAAAACAGTAATCAAAATATATTGTATGAAAAAATAATTTCAAAAGAAAAATATTGGAGCAAAAAGAGTCTTCAGGTCATATTTTTGACATAAAGGTGTCATGGACAGCACCTTGGACATTTTACCTCAAACACCATATGGCTAGATCAGAGTCCCTGAAGAGAAATCAGCAGAGGCTTTGGTAAAGGTGCACAGTTGTAGTGCATACCTCAGCATTTTAGAGATGCTTGGATGACCCCCAAGGACAGCAGCATCTGTGGGGTGGGGCCAGCCTGGTCCAGTGAGACATACTATGTGTGCTGTGGCACAAACCCTTTGGAGTGCAGATGATCACAAGTTTCAGACTTCTAACATTGAGCTTTACACTATTGGAGTTTGCTTCTTCTTATATCTAACTGTGACTTGCCTTGGCTCTTTCTTCCTGAACTAGGAAATTACGTGTTTTTTTTTTTTTATTTTATTTTACTAAAGCTCATGGTAAAGTTATTTGGGAATTTTGGAGAAATTTTGGATAGTTTCTCGAAAATTTCTGAACACTGGACTTT